TGAAACTAAAAATCGCTATACTTTATTCATGTTTAATCCTGTTTAAACTGATGGGTGTTCGGATGGCGCAGTGGTAACGCATTCGCCTTTCACCTAGCCGTCCGGGGCGCGACTCCTGGAACGGACGTAAAAATTTAAGGATCACCTGCCCGACCACGTGGGCTTTCCCCGGGTACTCCGGTTTCCTCCCACAATAAGACCCCTCGCGCGCTTACATCCGGGCTAACTAGAGTGATTAGTATAAGTTGACATAACTTGTTTCACAATTGTTCTTAAATAAATACAGCTTATAGTTTATAGTTTTTTTGATATAACTGATGAACAATATGTCACGTGTTACGGCACATGATGACCAGTAGTCTGTTGTATATATCTTCTCTTGACATGATTTTCAACAGGAGATGACCATCGACGTGAACTATATACATAATGGATCTGTAATATAGGTCAACTATAATCACAACAACAACAAACATAATCAGGTGGACATGATATTAGAATGTTATCGCGGGGTGAGATATATATCAATCTAGCTGATAGCAGTGGTCCCCAGTGTAACAATATTCAGGAAGCAAGCTATAACAGGAGAAACCTTGTCGTGGACAGGTGTGACGATATCCATTGTTGTATGTTACACACCACATCCTCCTCCTACCTGCGAGCATCTATATATACTCACTAAATAAAACAATATTATCACGTTAGCTTGTCGTACACCAAAGTTTGGTTGTTTATACAGATATTTATTAGTTACTGATGTGCTTTGTAGGAATCTGTGGATTTGTTGCCAACATTTTTCGGGAAATCAGTCGTGAAATTAGAAAAAGAAAATTTCGTAATCCCTCTCTTTACTCAAGATTTTTTTCAATTGAAATCTCAAAGCATTTATCGACTGAAAAATCATAATTTGGCTTTAAATTGTTTTGATTAACGTAATGCCACATCTTTTGAAACTAAAAGTCGGCGCAACGCAATGCGTGGTTACAAGACGGTTTGGATGTAACCACAAGACGGTATATATATATATATACTTGTATGTCATACGTTTTAATGCAACCACACCAACATCCGATCTTCCAAGCAGCGGTCGACCACGAGTTACCCACTCCTCGTGAAGATCGTCTAATACTTGAAGCATCTTCGTGATCGGTTTCTTCCTGCCACCGAGCAGTCGGACAATCCTTAACAGTCTGTAATGTCACGGAATGTGTGCATTACGTTATATTACATTTACAATACTAGATGTCTGAACACCTCATTAAACATTACATTTACAATACTAGATGTCTGAACACCTCATTAAACATTACATTTACGATACTAGATGTCTGAACACCTCATTAAACATTACATTTACAATACTAGATTCTGAACACCTCATTAAACATTACATTTACGATACTAGATTCTGAACACCTCATTAAACATTACATTTACAATACTAGATGTCTGAACACCTCATTAAACATTACATTTACAATACTAGATTCTGAACACCTCATTAAACATTACATTTACAATACTAGATTCTGAACACCTCATTAAACTTTTCATTTACAATACTAGATTCTGAACACCTCATTAAACATTACATTTACAATACCAGATTCTGAACACCTCATTAAACATTACCTTTACAATACTAGATTCTGAACACCTCATTAAACATTACATTTACAATACTAGATTCTTAACACCTCATTAAACTTTTCATTTACAATACTAGATGTCTGAACACCTCATTAAACATTACATTTACAATACTAGATTCTGAACACCTCATTAAACATTACATTTACAATACTAGATTCTGAACACCTCATTAAACTTTTCATTTACAATACTAGATTCTGAACACCTCATTAAACTTTACATTTACAATACTAGATTCTGAACACCTCATTAAACTTTTCATTTACAATACTAGAGATGTCTGAACACCTCATTAAACATTATATTTACAATACTAGATGTCTGAACACCTCATTAAACTTTACGTTTACAATACTAGATTCTGAACACCTCATTAAACATTACATTTACAATACTAGATTCTGAACACCTCATTAAACTTTTCATTTACAATACTAGATTCTGAACACCTCATTAAATATTACATTTACAATACCAGATTCTGAACACCTCATTAAACATTACCTTTACAATACTAGATTCTGAACACCTCATTAAACATTACATTTACAATACTAGATTCTTAACACCTCATTAAACTTTTCATTTACAATACTAGATGTCTGAACACCTCATTAAACATTACATTTACAATACTAGATTCTGAACACCTCATTAAACTTCACATTTACAATACTAGATTCTGAACACCTCATTAAACTTTTCATTTACAATACTAGATTCTGAACACCTCATTAAACTTTACATTTACAATACTAGATTCTGAACACCTCATTAAACTTTTCATTTACAATACTAGATTCTGAACACCTCATTAAACATTACATTTACAATACTAGATTCTGAACACCTCATTAAACATTATATTTACAATACTAGATGTCTTGACACCTCATTAAACATTACATTTACAATACTAGATATCTTGACACCTCATTAAACATTACATTTACAATACTAGATTCTGAACACCTCATTAAACTTCACATTTAAAATACTAGATTCTGAACACCTCATTAAACTTTTCATTTACAATACTAGATTCTGAACACCTCATTAAACATTACATTTACAATACTAGATTCTGAACACCTCATTAAACATTATATTTACAATACTAGATGTCTTGACACCTCATTAAACATTACATTTACAATACTAGATTCTGAACACCTCATTAAACTTTACATTTACAATACTAGATCCTGAACACCTCATTAAACTTTACATTTACAATACTAGATTCTGAACACCTCATTAAACATTACATTTACAATACTAGATTCTGAACACCTCATTAAACATTACATTTACAATACTAGATATCTTGACACCTCATTAAACATTATATTTACAATACTAGATTCTGAACACCTCATTAACATTACATTTACAATACTAGGTGTCTTGACACCTCATTAAACATTATATTTACAATACTAGATATCTGAACACCTCATTAAACATTACATTTACAATACTAGATATCTTGACACCTCATTAAACATTGTATTTACAATACTAGATGTCTTGACACCTCATTAAACATTACATTTACAATACTAGATTCTGAACACCTCATTAAACTTTACATTTACAATACTAGATCCTGAACACCTCATTAAACTTTACATTTACAATACTAGATTCTGAACACCTCATTAAACATTACATTTACAATACTAGATATCTTGACACCTCATTAAACATTACATGTACAATACTAGATTCTGAACACCTCATTAAACTTTACATTTACAATACTAGATTCTGAACACCTCATTAAACTTTTCATTTACAATACTAGATTCTGAACACCTCATTAAACATTACATTTACAATACTAGATTCTGAACACCTCATTAAACTTTACATTTACAATACTAGATTCTGAACACCTCATTAAACATTACATTTACAATACTAGATATCTTGACACCTCATTAAACATGATATTTACAATACTAGATTCTGAACACCTCATTAAACATTACATTTACAATACTAGGTGTCTTGACACCTCATTAAACATTATATTTACAATACTAGATATCTGAACACCTCATTAAACATTACATTTACAATACTAGATATCTTGACACCTCATTAAACATTATATTTACAATACTAGATTCTGAACACCTCATTAAACATTACATTTACAATACTAGCTGTCTTGACACCTCATTAAACATTACATTTACAATACTAGATATCTTGACACCTCATTAAACATTATATTTACAATACTAGATTCTGAACACCTCATTAAACATTACATTTACAATACTAGGTGTCTTGACACCTCATTAAACATTACATTTACAATACTAGGTGTCTTGACACCTCTTGGAGCGAAGTTTCCTCTTGAATATATTTAAAATGAGCGAATAAACTGGTAGAAAAAGCTTTGTAGATTTGTAGATTTGAATATCTATTCCATCCACACGAATAATTCCACAGTTTGTAGGAAAGTATCTTTATGTTATAGGTATATATTTATATCGTTGATTAAACAATAAAACAGTTTTAGATTATCTGTCTCTATTTCTCTCTTTCATAAAACTAGCTGAATTCATAGTATTGACCTTAATTTCGATTCTTTAAATGCCATCTTCGATAAAAACAACATGTACACTGTTTTATACACACGATTATAGCGATTTGTTTGCTTGTCTACTTATAATGATAGAATAATGCAATTCATTTGTTTGAATATCATGTATAATGGCGAATATTGTATTATCTACATAACTGGAGTGCGAGTATAAAGTGTTTAAGAAAACTTTTATATACAGATGTATGGTGTGTATGACATATTTGATATGAATAATTCAATATAATATGACGATATGAAGATTGTATACAGATAGGTAGTGTGTAATATGACCATACATATTGATGGTACGTACGATCTACGATCAGTAAGACGAATATTCTATACAGATGTATGGTATCAATAAAGTGGTTTCGGTTGTGTATCTTGTAGACAGTGGTAACATACACTGGAATAGATAAAGTGAGTGTTACTTATAAGAGAAATAGAGGTGTAGCTAAATATGGTGTCATTTGGCACTTATCACCAGCTTTCTTCAACAGTTTGATGAATCCAAGAGAACGTCCCGGATGAAATCCTTCAAACAATAATAACATGTACTTTATTTAAGCAAAGCAGAATCTAAAATTAGATACGATGTCTCGAGGAATTTGTTATCTCTGAAGAGTTTAAAAGCTATGAATTTGTTACATTTTACTGTTTTCTAGATCTCACTTTGACGGTTTTTTTCACTCTCAAACTTACTTGTAAGGTTCGACTTTTTCATTTCATCTTTTATCTTATTCTACAGATACTTTGACCAAGACAGCATACTGGACAAAGTTCCCTCAATGTTCTTGGTGCTTGGAGGGTGTTACGCAGCTATGCAAGTTATTGGGGTTATCTGTTTGAAAGATCCACCAGCTGATGTGAGTACCGTCGTTATCTAAACCTGTATATCCTTGTATCATACCAATTCATTGGTGCTTTCACCATTACAATGCATACTATGGTTTACTCATTGTTTCGAACATGTGCCTTTATACAGAATTCATTTATATATTTGTCTAATATAATTGTTTAGATGTCTGAGCAGATCAATCGTAATGAGGAGGAAACACAGCTTGTAGCATCGACGTAAGTTTACGAGTTTATAGGTGTCACTGACAAAGTAATTCTACCAGTGAACTATATCACATTTATGTCACTGACAAAGTAATTCTACCAGTGAACTATATCACATTTATGTCACTGACAAAGTAATTCTACCAGTGAACTATATCACATTTATGTCACTGACAAAGTAATTCTACCAGTGAACTATATCACATTACAAAATGTGATAAAATACTTTTACTAGTAAATCAGATCACTTTCAGTAAAGAACGTATTCTTCCACCAGTGAACTTTCTCAAAATTACGTCAATGATAATGTCCTCCTTAAAGAGAGCTCTTCCACATTTATATCGATAATACAGTACTTACACATTGTGAATTACATTCAGCAAGGACAAGATTGTACATTTCTTGTTATTTATGCAATGTCGATGTCACCACTATCTTAAACGAAGGTGTTTCCTATCCAGAAACATCGTTTTTACACTGAAACCACTGCACAGATCCTGATTATTTCTGAATGAGTGTCTTAAGTTCTATGATGTTTTTGTTACAATAGAACAAGCGTTGACGTAAGAGATACGGACTCAACTCCAGGACAGGTTCTCCAGAGGAAATCCTTCTACATGCTGTGGTTCCTCTATCTGTTCAATGGACAAGGGATCCAGTTCATATCATCTCTGTACAAGGTATATGTAGATAATTTTTACAGTAGAATTGTATGTGGAACAACTGCTTACATTTGTGATATTGAAATGATGAACAATGTAGCGATGTTTTTTCTTGATACAAAATTAACATTTCTATAGGGACGATACACGAGGAATACAATTCCGATATGTGGAACATTTTTTATAAATCTGAACTATATTTCTTGCCAGTTGAATTGCTATTTGGTATTGGATACAATGTCTTAAGACAGTCTAATTAGTGTGAAGCTTCAAAGTAGTCATTGTAAATTAGATATAACTTTCCTAAACGCTTTTTAAATTATTCCGTATTACAGACATATGGACAAACGTTTATAAAAGATGACCGGTTTTTAGCTGTCGTTGGCTCTCTGGCAGCTGTGTGTAATGGCGGAGGACGGATTCTGTGGGGCTACCTTGCAGATAAGTTTTGTTTTAAGGTAAGTTCATTTATTCGACAATTACGATTCCAAAGACAAAGCATTAAATCGGTCATGGTGAAAATATGATTCTATAATTGTAATACTGACATCATATTATTTATAATCTACAGATCATCCTGTTTAGATTTCTCTGTAATACTGACATCATATTATTTATAAGCTACAGATCATCCTGTTTAGATTTCTCTGTAATACTGACATCATATTATTTATAAGCTACAGATCATCCTGTTTAGATTTCTCTGTAATACTGACATCATATTATTTATAAGCTACAGATCATCCTGTTTAGATTTCTCTGTAATACTGACAATATATTACTGATAACCTACAGGATATTCTGTGTTGGCTTCAATATATATAATACTGACATCACTCTGTTGACAAACTACGGTCGATACTTTGTGTACTTCATGAGGGCTGCTTTCTACACTGCCATATGCGACTCTGACCTCTGTTACTTCGTACTATCACCCACATCACCCTGTACGTGATCATTTTTGTGTACAATAACATTACATTGTAGGTAGCGTCAATGCTGTCCTGTGGGGTGTTTTGTGTGTGTATGCTTACATTCTCCCTGACAGAAAGGTTGGGTCCCGCTGCTTTCCTAGTTTATATTTGCATCCTGTTCCTCTCCTTCTCTGGGAATTTCTCACTTCTTCCGACTGCTACAGCGAAATGTTTTGGACAAAAATACTACGCTATCAACTATGGCTTTGTTTTCACAGCTTCGGTATGTATACGTTAATCAATTAAATTTTTTTAAATAAATCTCATTTAGGATTAATTGAACACATTAGATACGAATGGTGTACATATTAAACTTTATGCCTATACTCTGTAACTGACGTATGTAAAAACAAGACAATACCGACAAATCAACTCAATCCAAATCCAGATTCAATAACACAAGGGCGAAATATAAACATAAAGAAGATTTACACGGCAACTCCTAAAAACGTATTAGGAGAATAAGACCAAGTGTTTCTGAAGAGTGAGCATCTTCAGCTTCTACAACACCTGCCATGTAAATCTGTGTCAATGCCAGTTAGTGATATCACGATTTCAAATAAGATCAAGTTACACAACAACGGAACCAACAGGCAAACTAACGAGAAGAAAACGTTCCATCTTCTTATCGCACAAAGAAATAGGATATCTGTCCATGACGATCGTAAAACCTAACATAATTTTCATCAACCTGCATTTTTTGAAACCCCGATTTACGAGTTTGCATTCTTGCACGACAATGGGAACAGATCCTTGAATATAGAATCAGCTGCAACATGTAAACACCATTGGTAATTGATGCAGGAAAAATGCTATCCAGAAATGGAAAATTCATAATAGGCAAATTGAAATCACAGCTTAGTAGAAAACTATCCATGTTGGTTTCGTTGTAGGAAAAGATCAAGATAAGGGGTTGATGTAGAAGAGTCTGTCATTTCCTTGATAATATTACTCGGTCGATGAGACGTAAGAGGCATGTGCCTTTGATGAAAGGGAACCTTTGCTTCAGGTACATATGTACTCATTAACAAATAATGCGCTGGGTTAGGCTTTAGTTTTATTTATACGTGTGTGCTTCCAGATCGTCACTAGCCCCCTAGGCGTGGTGCTTACATCGAATCTACAGAACACGTTAGGCTGGTATGGACTATTTTTCATGGTGGCAGCATTTTCATTCACAAGTAAGTTTCATGTTTGTTTTTGTAAATAAGTACAATAAACAGCAGTATCATTAAAAACCAGTGATATGCAGGTTTCATATAATATTTGTATCCCCTATCATATAAGTACCCGGATACTTTTATGATGGGGGATACAAATATGATATGACACCGGTATGACCAAATTTACACGTTTATATCACCAAAACATAACATGATCAAAACACGCCACCCATATATGTGTATTGAAACATTTTTTGATTGTTTTAAAAACCAAAACTTTTATAAAACAAATTGAATGGAGGTTGGTGCACCGGGGTAGAGGTGGGGATTATTTGACCACGTATTTCCCTGTTCTTGGGGATTGGTTCTTTTTAGGAATATAAGACTTTTAAATCCTGTCGCTCCGGAGAGTCGCAATTCTTGAACTTCTCTGCAATTTGTTACTTTTACTCACATCGGGAGCTAGTGGTTGGACGTCTAACGCTGTTGACGGCTGAACACATGGCGATATTGTTTGTTGCTCTTTTGCATGAGATACTGATAGCAGCATTGAAATCTGTGGTAACCAAATCTTTTCCAACATCCTGCAGAGCGTCTCGTCAACGTGCTGCTTTCGTTAAGCCATACACAGGCTGGCCTGGGGGTTGCCTTAAGACATCTGACTTTGTTGTTGAATTTGGTTAGAGGATTTTGTGGGGCCGCAGACAGATTTAGGAGGTATATGTGGCGTTTTCAGCGTTTATAAGTCTTCGCACGTGTAAAATTCGCAGAATGTGTTTTATAGTTATAAATCATCAATCATGTTGCCGTACATAAATGATGAACTTCACATTTGCATCATATCATTATTTGGATGTAACGTGCTTTTAATAACACCAATACAAAGAAAGTATAGATTCCAGCATTGATGTATATGTTATGGCATCACATCGCGAATATGAATCGCGACAAAGAATGCATTATAGTTAGAACGATATATTGCCTATTAGTGTTTATCTTCATACTTCACGCGCGGGATATATACCCAAGTCCTTCCTGTGATTTTTTTGATGCATTAAGTAAATAAGTAGATAAGGATTAACACGCGTTCGTACTGCATATTAAATAACAGAATTATTGTAATAGTATGGTTTGTTTTTGTTGAGCATTATACGTGTGTTTTATTTGATTTAATCATAATTGCATGCTTGAGCATATTCATACAGAGCTTAGAAAGGAAATGGCGGCTCCTGCATTATCTCTATATAAAGAGTAACTTAAGATTAATTTAGTCATACTTGTATGTTATATCTCTATAATAGTTGTCTAATAACTGTTCCAACGCATGATATTTGTTTTCCCTATATTTTTCTTTTTGCAGCAAACTATAATTAAAGTTGTAGCATAATACTACAATGATATTACAATTTGGTTAATAATGTCTTGATTCGTGTATGAAAGAAAAACAATGTTGATATTGTGCGTTACCTTCAGTATATTAACAGCCTATTTTTAAATTATGTTTTATTATTTATCTATACTGAATTAGCCTTGTCAGCAATATTTCAACTGATTAAAGGTTGAACTGAAACAAACTTAAGCCAGTCATTGAATAATAGAATGTAAGAAAAACCAAAAATTTAATGCATAATTCAAATGGGAGATTATTTTGTATCTTGTGTTTCATTAAGAAAAAGGGTTCTGTGTGACTATACACGCGTACATTGACACAATAAAGACATTAGTGATTAATTTCTTTGATTAATTTGATGTTTCCTAGTTTCAGTTTTATTATTTAGAGTACCCGCTGGTGATCAATGTTCTATATATCATGATTTTATAATCATCACCAATGTCTGACACAGAATAACTCATTTTACATTGTGACATAGAATAACACATTTTACATTGTGACATAGAATAACTCATTTTACATTGTGACATAGAATAACTCATTTTAGATTGTGACATAGAATAACTCATTTTACATTGTGACACAGAATAACTCCTTTTACATTGTGACATAGAATAACTCATTTTACATTGTGACATAGAATAACTCCTTTTACATCGTGACATAGAATAACACATTTTACATTGTGACATAGAATAACTCATTTTACATCGTGACATAGAATAACTCATTTTAGATTGTGACATAGAATAACTCATTTTAGATTGTGACATACAATAACTCATTTTACATTGTGACATACAATAACTCATTTTAGATTGTGACATAGAATAACTCATTTTACATTGTGACATAGAATAACTCCTTTTACATTGTGACATAGAATAACTCATTTTACATTGTCACATAGAATAACACATTTTACATTGTGACATAGAATAACTCATTTTAGATTGTGACATAGAATAACACATTTTACATTGTGACATAGAATAACACATTTTACATTGTGACATAGAATAACTCATTTTAGATTGTGACATAGAATAACTCATTTTACATTGTGACATAGAATAACTCATTTTAGATTGTGACATAGAATAACTCATTTTAGATTGTGACATACAATAACTCATTTTACATTGTGACATAGAATAACACATTTTACATTGTGACATAGAATAACTCATTTTAGATTGTGACATAGAATAACACATTTTACATTGTGACATAGAATAACTCATTTTAGATTGTGACATAGAATAACTCATTTTAGATTGTGACATAGAATAACTCATTTTACATTGTGACATAGAATAACTCATTTTAGATTGTGACATAGAATAACTCATTTTAGATTGTGACATACAATAACTCATTTTACATTGTGACATAGAATAACACATTTTACATTGTGACATAGAATAACTCATTTTAGATTGTGACATAGAATAACACATTTTACATTGTGACATAGAATAACTCATTTTAGATTGTGACATAGAATAACACATTTTACATTGTGACATAGAATAACTCATTTTAGATTGTGACATAGAATAACTCATTTTACATCGTGACATAGAATAACTCATTTTAGATTGTGACATAGAATAACACATTTTACATTGTGACATAGAATAACTCATTTTACATTGTGACATAGAATAACTCATTTTAGATTGTGACATAGAATAACTCATTTTACATTGTGACATAGAATAACTCATTTTAGATTGTGACATAGAATAACTCATTTTAGATTGTGACATACAATAACTCATTTTACATTGTGACATAGAATAACACATTTTACATTGTGACATAGAATAACTCATTTTAGATTGTGACATACAATAACTCATTTTACATTGTGACATAGAATAACACATTTTACATTGTGACATAGAATAACTCATTTTACATTGTGACATAGAATAACTCATTTTACATTGTGACATAGAATAACTCCTTTTACATTGTGACATAGAATAACTCCTTTTACATTGTGACATAGAATAACTCATTTTACATTGTAGGTTTACTCATTTCAATATTTTTCAACGAAAAAAGACCTGATGGAAAAGACATATGATAAAGCCTGATCAAGTCAAAGGTGAAGAACCAATAGGTGCATGTCTCCAGGGGAACCGTGATGATTGGTGTCTCTGTGTGGGGAACAGTGATCATTGGTGTCTCTGTGTGGGGAAACAGTGATGATTGGTGTCTCCAGGGGAAACAGTGATGATTGGTGTCTCTGTGTGGGGAACAGTGATGATTGGTGTCTCTGTGTGGGGAACAGTGATGATTGGTGTCTCTGTGTGGGGAAACAGTGATGATTGGTGTCTCCAGGGGAAACAGTGATGATTGGTGTCTCTGTGTGGGGAACAGTGATGATTGGTGTCTCCAGGGGAAACAGTGATGATTGGTGTCTCTGTGTGGGGAACAGTGATGATTGGTGTCTCTGTGTGGGGAACAGTGATGATTGGTGTCTCTGTGTGGGGAACAGTGATGATTGGTGTCTCTGTCTGAGGAACATGGATAATCGATGTCTCTGTCTGAGGAACATAGATCATTGATGTCTCTGTCTGAGGAACATCTCGGTGACAAAAGTCATTGCCCGAGAAACATATCAATGATTTTTGTCTCCGTCAAAGAAAATCATCGATAATAAAAGAAACATTTCGATAGAGGATGTGACAGACTGAAGAATGTATGTAGAACTGATGTCTCCGTTAGGAACAAATCGTTGATAGACTCGCCGAGGAACATAGCGATAACCGATGTCTCCATCTGTACAGCCTTTGCTGCCGAAGGATTTCGACGATGACGAATCCTACCACGACGAAAGTTGATCTCATACCCAAAAACATGTTTAGAGGTCCCGTGTTTGAACCCTTCCGAAGGGCTAGCAAAAATGAAAAGGAAAAAATCGACGAATCAGAAAGCTGCATTTTAAGTAAAAACAAGGGATAATTAAAGATTATATCTCCATTCAGCATTACATGATTGTTAATGAAAGCATGTCTAGCACTTCTTTGTATTTCAAACGAACTATCTCCCGAATAAGATCACGAATCTCAAAAATGTCTTCCACATGAATAAATATGTCCCTTTAATGACATTGTGTTACACTTCTGTTTCCTGGAACATAACATGTATATACCAGTTTAAACAAATAATCCAACCTGGCCACGTTATCAGAACAGTAACATTCATTGCACGATCCATTTCAATATTACATTGTTCTGTATTGGAAGAGTGGCGTAACACACAATGATGATCAGTACACGGCGCCAAAAAGTTTGCATGTTCCCAACATTGCTTTTCCTACACTCATAACGCAGTCACTGATGCCCTATATGGAGAAAACCCGTCAAAAGCTACTTGTTACGGGGTTTACATACCGACTGATAGAACATCAGCTACTGATAAGCATACCACGTCAACTGTCGATGAAGAGGACGAGTGGGTACAATGCCAACATCAATCGTCACTAAATTCGTCTATCGTGCAGATTTTTCTTACATCACTGGTCTATATCCTGGTTCCATTGACATATCAGTCAAACTTGTGTCTTTTACAAACGTGTTCATCACCAGTTTTAGTTGAATCTATAACATTATAGGTTTTAATCATTTCATTCCATCTTAGGTTTCACTCACTTCAAATTACTATTGGTTTGATGTACAGAGTCCTTTTTAATAATAAATTTGTATAGAGTTGTTTTAAGACAGCTATTGCTTACTCTGTAACAAACCCAGCCTAACGGAGAAATATAGTCTATAATCGATATAGTCATGTTCTCGTAGAGTTTATACCTTTAACAACGAGTCAAAAACAAAGTACCGATGCTACTGAACAACACATTCCATTAACGAAACTAAAAGTACACATTTTATATTGTCGTTTTAAGAATTTGACCAAACGTTAGCTTGCTTTTCAACAGAGAGAAGTCAGTAAAAACAATAATCATGACCATTAATCACAATCGATAAGAAATGTTCAGAGTCAATAATCGTAATCAATATTTGTATCCAATGATAAAAATTAGTTAACACAATTATAGTGATACATGTTTAATATCACTCCTCATACCCGACTGACTTTGTCCATCTAGTACAGTGTTTATGAAACTGTTTATATAGTAAATTTATGAAATTGTTTATAATTTGATTGAAAAATGTTCAGAAGAAATTTCAGCTCGATAATCGTTTGAGCAATAGCGATATGTTTAGGTAAGTCAGTTCACATATCAACTACTCTGAATGAGAATGAGTTTCATCTGAACTCCGCGTTGCATCGGTGTTCATCCATTTTGTAATTGTACTCTCGTGCACGGGTTCCACGCACCTGCCACATACTCCAACTGAAGTCTTACGTATAATTGTACCAGTGTTTAAATACACTGTATGGATTAATCTGTTTATCTGAAGGATCTTCTCACCAAGCTCTTGTTTACTTACTTTTTTTCTCGTGCAGTTTCCCGCCGATTTCGTCCATGGGACGATGATACCTTCTGACATCCGGGGTTGATCACTTTATATTAGGTACCTTGTATTAATTTGGTTGGAAGTTTAGAAGACAGTCGTCTGAAAATGTTTGCCTTTGGTCGAGATCTGATTGTAGAGTTTTCATATCATTTTTGTTACTAATGTTGTTGTACAGTACAATATCATCTGCCATGGAGGGCAGGGGTGTTACGTGTTTTCTGTTAAATAGTTTACACACAGAAAAAGTATGAGGGTTCCAGCACACTTCCTTGGGAATTCTATTGCTAACGCCATGAAACCGTCATGGTGATCCGTGTTTATCAAAACATTTCGATGTCTTTATTCAGGAAATTCTCTATCCATTCTGTTGCTTTACGGCCGATTTCATACCTATATAGCTTATGTATGAGTCGGGATGAGATGGCAAACCTTGTCAAACGTCTTCATAAAATTCATATAAATAACATCAATTTTCCCTTCTATCTAACAAGCGGGTCCAGCCATTGAAACTGCTAACATCAAAAGCGCTGTTGATTTTCCAGATAGAAATCCAAATTATGTTTTGCTAAATAAATCATACGCCGTACAACGGACGCGTTTTTTCCACTTTTTTATATAATTACACGTGAAGCTCGCAGATCGGTGATTCCCTAGGTGATTGTTGGTTGATTGATTGATAGGTTTTCCATCCCTGTGACTTGTACCTATGTTGGTAATTTTCTCTCCGACGAACGTCAGTGTTCTGGCGACGTGAGGCGGCATCCCATCAGATGGCTGATCCGTCTGTGGCGGTAAGTGTTTGAGTAATCTAGTTTTAGAAGACGGCTTCGGTGTCTAGTAATGCCTTATCCTAACTCTAGCAGTCTGTGATATGTCCAGAAGTTGACAGGAAGGATTAGGGGCCTACATAGATTTGGTTTATGTAAGGGTAATTTTGAAATCCTTTAAATTCCTTTCAAAATTGTATAGCCTAACTAGCCTAACAGTATTCCTAAACCCCTGGCCGGCGTTGTCACGCCTGCTCTTTTTCCGAGTCACAAAGTCACAAAGGGATCTTTAGCGTGCGATTGAACAGTTCTCACACGGGCCGCCGTTTAAAGTCCCATCCGCCGGACTATGAATAGTAATTAGTGGCTAGGTCGGTGCATGTGCAATTATAACTAACACGTGGATTTTTGGATGTCCCGTCTTGAAAACCTTTCCAATCAACCCGACAAAGTTACTTGACCACTTAACTGATGTCCATCGCTTCCAGATGATCCATTCCACTCCGGCTGCATACTGTTCACTATTCCGACTTTCTTTTATAGATATATATGTGATTTGTGTGAATGTGCTGATTTAGAAGACTTATGAGATGTAAGTTAGGTTGAAGTGTTAGGATAGGATTATCCAGGACATGTTTAAGTCTTTTAAAGCGTGAGAATCACGAGACGGATATTATGGTTGGGTTATGTTTTAGGCTATGTGTTTACAACTAGTTGTGGGTTAATTCTAACTGGTTACATTTTAGTAGAAGGTCTATCCTACCCTATATATTATTATATACATTCTGTTTTATCCCGAGGTGCGAGTAAAAGTAACATCTCTCGAATCCGACTGAATGATCAGTTAATTTCCATTGTACTTACCATGATTTCATCTATACTGAACATAGTAGTGGATACTGTTTTATTTGTATAACGAGGTGTATTTACTCTTTGGGTTTGTATGTTTAGTTATTATCTAATTATGCAGTCATTTGGTAGTACTCGGCCTATACTTTACGTGCAGTCTATTTTACTTATTTGTTTAACAGACACGTGAAAGCGCTTGTTTGCTAGTGTGTGTTGTTTTATTTATATGTGCAGTTTCAGCAGCGAGCATTCTCCCAGGGGACACACCTGCCTTCCCAGTATGTGTATATTACAAATGTGCATGTTGGGGATGGGGCACAGAGAGCGACACCGCAGACCTCATGAAGTGTCAGTATGCACCAATGAATGAGAGAATCAGTGGTAAATCTCTCTGCACGGTCTCCCTGGGTATCATGGGAATCCTACCTGTTGTGTAGGTTTCTGGTGTATGGGAGTTGTCACCCTTCGACCACTTATACTCTATCTATGTAGTCGATCCATGCACTAGTCTTTCATTTTCATGTTATGTTAAAACCTGGCTGATTGATGTGTATTGAATTTTTATCATTTTTAATAGAAAATAAGATTTTTTCCTGGTCGAATACAGAATATAGAAAAACATTATCTATAGTCTCTTCTGAATTACATATGGTGACATATCTTTAGTTAATGTACTGACATCACTATATATTTCGTTTAGTTATTCCCAGTCTTAATCTTGTGGTGACAATATTATCTTTATTACGTCCTAATATTTTTGGTTTTATATTTGGTTGTTCTATAATTTTTGTTGTTTTATTTGATGTAGATGTTTATGTTTCTCACCAGTTATTACTGTAAATTGATTGTAGTTTATACGCCTTTTTTGGATAATTTCAGTTTACATTCTATCGTGTTTTCTGAAGAGTTTTCTTAGCTTGATCATCAGCGTTTTCATTTCCAGGTATACTGACATGTGATGGTACATATTCAAATATTATAATCACTACCTCTCACTACATCCTCGGTACTACAGGGGTTATGATCACTACATCCTCGGTACTACAGGGGTTATGATCACTACATCCTCGGTACTACAGGGGTTATGATCACTACATCCTCGGTACTACAGGGGTTATGATCACTACATCCTCGGTACTACAGGGGTTACGATCACTACATCCTCGGTACTACAGGGGTTATGATCACTACATCCTCGGTACTACAGGGGTTATGATCACTACATCCTCGATACTTCAGGGGTTATGATCACTACATCCTCGGTACTACAGGGGTTATGATCACTACATCCTCGGTACTACAGGGGTTATGATCACTACATCCTCGGTACTACAGGGGTTATGATCACTACATCCTCGGTACTCCAGGGGTTATGATCACTACATCCTCGGTACTACAGGGGTTATGATCACTACATCCTCGGTACTACAGGGGTTATGATCACTACATCCTCGGTACTACAGGGGTTATGATCACTACATCCTCGATACTCCTGGGGTTATGATCACTACATCCTCGGTACTACAGGGGTTATGATCACTACTTCCTCGATACTCCAGGGGTTATGATCACTACATCCTCGATACTACAGGGGTTATGATCACTACATCCCCGATACTCCTGGGGTTATGATCACTACATCCTCGATACTCCAGGGGTTACGATCACTACATCCTCGGTACTACAGGGGTTATGATCACTACATCCTCGGTACTACAGGGGTTATGATCACTACATCCTCGGTACTACAGGGGTTATGATCACTACATCCTCGGTACTACAGGGGTTATGATCTACAGGGGTTATGATCACTACATCCTCGGTACTACAGGGGTTATGATCACTACATCCTCGGGGGTTACTCACTACAGGGGTTATGATCACTACATCCTCGGTACTACAGGGGTTATGATCACTACATCCTCGGTACTTCAGGGGTTATGATCACTACATCCTCGGTACTACAGGGGTTATGATCACTACATCCTCGGTACTCCTCACTACATCCTCGGTTATGATCACTACATCCTCGATACTCCAGGGGTTATCACTACATCCTCGATCACTACATCCTCGGTACTACTAGGGGTTATGATCACTACATCCTCGGGGTACTCCTCCAGGGGTTATGGGGTTATGATCACTACATCCTCGATACTACAGGGGTTATGATCACTACATCCTCGGTACTACAGGGGTTATGATCACTACATCCTCGATACTCCAGGGGTTATGATCACTACATCCTCGGTACTACAGGGGTTATGATCACTACATCCTCGATACTCCAGGGGTTATGATCACTACATCCCCGATACTCCAGGGGTTACGATCACTACCTCCTCGATACTCAAGGGGTTACGCTGACAACATCCTCGATACTCCAGGGGCTACGATCACTACATCCTCGATGCTCCAGGGGCTACGATCACTACATCCTCGATACTCCAGGGGTTACTGTCACTTTCGCTCTCTGCACCCAATGATTGGTCAGTTTTTTTTCTACTGTAACCAGTCAACTCACTTCGCATTTGCCTTCGAGTTTGCCATGACATGTTCCAGGGTTGTAGAGAGCGGAATTGATCGTATCTTTTGGAGTATCGAGGATTAACGATATCGGAAGGGCTTTAGGTACGGGTAAGGAAATTATAGCAGTATTTTGAGATATAAGTAAATCGTCCGATCGTGTTTGGCACAGAGGCCTGATGCATAAATTAGAAGTAGTCGGTATTTCTGGTAAATTATTATATTGGTGTGAAAATTATTTAAATGACAGAACTAAGAAGTCCCTATAAATAGTTTTGTTAGCCGATTACCCCAGGGTTCAAAGACTACCTGTATTAGGAAGTCTAAAAAATACTCTTGATAGAAATTCTCCTCGAACAATATATTTTCCTTTTATTAGGTTGATTACTAGAATATTACGATATTATCTAGGATAATTTACCAAACTACTTATGTAAAAATTTAGAAAACATTTAGACTGAAGCTGTGATTATTGGGTGCCACGGAATCGCCAAGTATAAGTTTACTCTATAATGATGTGGATTGGAAAAAAAAAATTATCTAAACGATGGAAAATCATAAAAGTTTTATTAAAGATATCAAAAGAAAACACCAGCGTACTTGTCTAATTGAGTCCTAGATAAAGTATCCGATAATTACAGTCTTTTTACAGGAAACTATAATAATTTACTTTTAATTAATTGCAGAACTCATTAATATGAATATTTTTAATTTCAAAATACCTCAATACCATTATGGAATGTTTTACCTGAAGACATTCGTGAAAATCTGTCTGTCAGTAGACTCAAAATTTGTTTTTTTGGTTTTTTTTTTTACAAAAATATAAGGTAGTAGTCCATCATTACGTTAACACTGGAAGCAGACCCCTTCAAATATTACATGCACGATTACGACTTAAATGTTGTAGTTTTAAACAACATTTTTATATTAAAAATCTAGAGGGAAATCCACTTTGTATTTACAGTTTCGTTGGAAGTAGCTTCCAATTCTTACTAACGGGTACATGTAGTAATTAAACAACTTCCATCATCAAATTTTATTTCCTGTTTAAGGAGACATTATACAATTTATAATAAATTAGACCAAATACATAAAAGGAAAACTCAAAGTTCAGACAACGCGAATCACGGCGTTACAAACGTTTTATATCGGGCACGCGAAGTGTCTGTAAATTCACTGAGCTTCAGTGCTCTAAACGGACATTAGAAAGAGATCACGTGGCACTGACAACATACCGCACAGCCTTCATTAAGAAAAGTTTCAATACGGAGCCACACTGGAACTGGAAACCCGAGATTTCACCAAGCAAAGTATATGAATATGTGATATTATCCTCTGGTCTACTAGAATTGTGAATGGCAGGTTCCAACTCGGTATGAATTCTATGGAGAAAGTCCGTACGGAGGACAATGGTGTGCTCGGAGAAAGTCCGTACGGAGGACACTGGTGTGCTCGGAGAAAGTCCTTACGGAGGACACTGGTGTGCTCGGAGAAAGTCCGTACGGAGGACCCGAGATTTCACCAAGCAAAGTATATGAATATGTGATATTATCCTCTGGTCTACTAGAATTGTGAATGGCAGGTCCCAACTCGGTATGAATTCTATGGAGAAAGTCCGTACGGAGGACAATGGTGTGCTCGGAGAAAGTCCTTACGGAGGACACTGGTGTGCTCGGAGAAAGTCCGTACGGAGGACCCGAGATTTCACCAAGCAAAGTATATGAATATGTGATATTATCCTCTGGTCTACTAGAATTGTGAATGGCAGGTCCCAACTCGGTATGAATTCTATGGAGAAAGTCCGTACGGAGGACAATGGTGTGCTCGGAGAAAGTCCGTACGGAGGACACTGGTGTGCTCGGAGAAAGTCCTTACGGAGGACACTGGTGTGCTCGGAGAAAGTCCGTACGGAGGACCCGAGATTTCACCAAGCAAAGTATATGAATATGTGATATTATCCTCTGGTCTACTAGAATTGTGAATGGCAGGTCCCAACTCGGTATGAATTCTATGGAGAAAGTCCGTACGGAGGACAATGGTGTGCTCGGAGAAAGTCCGTACGGAGGACACTGGTGTGCTCGGAGAAAGTCCGTACGGAGGACACTGGTGTGCTCGGAGAAAGTCCGTACGGAGGACCCGAGATTTCACCAAGCAAAGTATATGAATATGTGATATTATCCTCTGGTCTACTAGAATTGTGAATGGCAGGCCCCAACTCGGTATGAATTCTATGGAGAAAGTCCGTACGGAGGACAATGGTGTGCTCGGAGAAAGTCCGTACGGAGGACACTGGTGTGCTCGGAGAAAGTCCTTACGGAGGACACTGGTGTGCTCGGAGAAAGTCCGTACGGAGGACCCGAGATTTCACCAAGCAAAGTATATGAATATGTGATATTATCCTCTGGTCTACTAGAATTGTGAATGGCAGGTCCCACCTCGGTATGAATTCTATGGAGAAAGTCCGTACGGAGGACAATGGTGTGCTCGGAGAAAGTCCGTACGGAGGACAATGGTGTGCTCGGAGAAAGTCCGTACGGAGGACAATGGTGTGCTCGGAGAAAGTCCGTACGGAGGAACCGAGATTTCACCAAGCAAAGTATATGAATATGTGATATTATCCTCTGGTCTACTAGAATTGTGAATGGCAGGTCCCAACTCGGTATGAATTCTATGGAGAAAGTCCGTACGGAGGACAATGGTGTGCTCGGAGAAAGTCCGTACGGAGGACAATGGTGTGCTCGGAGAAAGTCCGTACGGAGGACACTGGTGTGCTCGGAGAAAGTCCTTACGGAGGACACTGGTGTGCTCGGAGAAAGTCCGTACGGAGGACCCGAGATTTCACCAAGCAAAGTATATGAATATGTGATATTATCCTCTGGTCTACTAGAATTGTGAATGGCAGGTCCCAACTCGGTATGAATTCTATGGAGAAAGTCCGTACGGAGGACAATGGTGTGCTCGGAGAAAGTCCGTACGGAGGACAATGGTGTGCTCGGAGAAAGTCCGTACGGAGGACACTGGTGTGCTCGGAGAAAGTCCTTACGGAGGACACTGGTGTGCTCGGAGAAAGTCCGTACGGAGGACCCGAGATTTCACCAAGCAAAGTATATGAATATGTGATATTATCCTCTGGTCTACTAGAATTGTGAATGGCAGGTCCCAACTCGGTATGAATTCTATGGAGAAAGTCCGTACGGAGGACAATGGTGTGCTCGGAGAAAGTCCGTACGGAGGACAATGTGTGCTCGGAGAAACTCCGTACGGAGGACACTGGTGTGCTCGGAGAAAGTCCTTACGGAGGACACTGGTGTGCTCGGAGAAAGTCCGTACGGAGGACCCGAGATTTCACCAAGCAAAGTATATGAATATGTGATATTATCCTCTGGTCTACTAGAATTGTGAATGGCAGGTCCCAACTCGGTATGAATTCTATGGAGAAAGTCCGTACGGAGGACAATGGTGTGCTCGGAGAAAGTCCGTACGGAGGACACTGGTGTGCTCGGAGAAAGTCCTTACGGAGGACACTGGTGTGCTCGGAGAAAGTCCGTACGGAGGACCCGAGATTTCACCAAGCAAAGTATATGAATATGTGATATTATCCTCTGGTCTACTAGAATTGTGAATGGCAGGTCCCAACTCGGTATGAATTCTATGGAGAAAGTCCGTACGGAGGACAATGGTGTGCTCGGAGAAAGTCCGTACGGAGGACACTGGTGTGCTCGGAGAAAGTCCGTACGGAGGACACTGGTGTGCTCGGAGAAAGTCCGTACGGAGGACAATGGTGTGCTCGGAGAAAGTCCGTACGGAGGACACTTGTGTGCTCGGAGAAAGTCCGTACGGAGGACACTGGTGTAATCGGAGAAAGTTCGTACGGAGGACAATGGTGTGCTCGGAGAAAGTCCGTACGGAGGACACTTGTGTGCTCGGAGAAAGTCCGTACGGAGGACACTGGTGTAATCGGAGAAAGTCCGTACGGAGGACAATGGTGTGCTCGGAGAATTCCTGAAAATGTCAAAGATTTCCATTGACACTGAGAGGGAAACGTATAAAGACGTAGGTAATTTTCCAAGTAGGGAACTAGCGAATCTCCTTGGAGCACTTCCTTTAAATATCCTTTGGAACACACTATTCGAGGGTTTCAAGGCTGCACTTCCAAAATATAATGGAAATATCCTTTGGAACACACCATTCTGTTGTTTCCAGTCAGCACTTCCAAAATATAATGGAAATATCCTTTGGAACACACAATTCTGGGGTTTCCAGTCAGCACTACCAGAATATCATGGAAATATCCTTGGAACACACAATTCTGGGGTTTCCAGCCAGCACTACCAGAATATCATGGAATTTTCCTTTGGTACACACCACTCTGGGGTTTCCAGCCAGCACTACCAGAATATCATGGAATTTTCCTTTGGTACACACAATTCTGGGGTTTCCAGTCAGCACTACCAGAATATCATGGAAATATCCTTTGGAACACACTATTCTGTTGTTTCCAGTCCGCACTACCAGAATATCATGGAATCATCCTTTGGAACACCCTATTCTGGGGTTTCTAGGCTACAGTGGTGCCATGAATATCTATTTACTGTACAGTTATCCAAAAAATCATATTTTTTCCAAATAAAGCAGTTTCCTCCTGTCTGATCTTGTGCGACGAGACAGTCTAGGGATGATTTGGCAGCATTGTGTTGGAAGCGACTCAACTTCACGAGAAGTGTTCGGCTGAGCTGTACTCAGTGTTCTCAACCGTGTAAAAACAAAGGTATAACTATTTTCCTGTAAAGACATTTTACGAGCGGGCTGATAGTACAAGATGAGGGGTCGGGTCCAATAATACAATGAAGTGTCTTCCTTCCCTTACCACACGCCGCGCGTATCCTTTCAGGGTTAGACATACGGGAAGTTATTACATTTCCGTGGTGATTTTCTGTTGGGACAATTTCCAGGTTCTCAGTCCCGAACTCCCATATGGTATATTACTTACATGGTATACAATTCCCAAATACAATTACCTTGCCTTTAGATTGTTTGAAGTCAAATTTCCATGTTACACTACAGTCGTAACAGATGTCGAAACGTCCCTGGAGAGACAATGGAAAAGTTTTGGTAAGGACAATATCGTCAGCTAGCGTTGTCTTCCCCGCTTTAACCAACTCTACCTTCGCATCGTGATTAATATTTTCTAGCTTTACCAAGAGGTTATCAATGAAAAAAATAAAACCAGTGTGACGTCATCACAGGCCACGTCACAGCGCTCATCACATCATTGCATGAATTGCAGATTGTGTTAAAGATAATCCCTTGGAAACCAAGGTCGCTGAGTTTAAACATAAGACCTTCGTGCCAGATAGTGTAGAAGGCCTTCTTTATATCCAGAAAGGCTAAAAATGACTTTTCTGTTCAACTCGAGGTTGTGGTAAATGGTTTCCTGAAGGCAATAAGTGACCGTCAAACAACCAAGCAACTTACTGAAGCCGTTCGGTTGATCGCATGAGGAGGGTACGACAGATGTCTTCAGACAACATCCTATTTTGACATTTAACACTTTTTCAAATAATTTGTTCAAGCAACGTAACAGCGAGATTAGCCGATAATTAGCAGGATCAGAATGGTAAAAAAAAACGGTCAAAAATGTAATTATCATATTTAATGATATGGAGAATGATGCTTCTCTTCCAGATAGGAGGTACATGCTCGAGTTCAACACACTTGGGGAAGAGTTAATGTATACATAACGACAGAGATCTACCACCATAACATAAATGTTCGATATGAACGCCGTCAATCCCTGGGGCTTTCTTGAGAATCAGCCTTCTAATGGCAAATTAATTTCGGCAAGCATTAGCTTCTTGTTCTGATCAACAGAATCAGAACTATTAGTAAGATTGTCTGACGAATTACAACTAATATTGTCTGATAGACCAGCGTTAACCTTATAGGTATTAGGAAGATAATCGCCAAAAGCTTCTGCGATACAATCAGGAGATCGGAGTTTCCTTGATGACCTTCAGTGGCGCCTAGGAAGCCCTTTGAATCTCTTCAGAGCCTGCCAAACATTTTGACTGTCACAGTCTGTCGCGTCGTTCGATTCAAGCTGTAGGGAGTGTAAATGTTCCTTATATTAAGTTGAGTGTTTCTGAATGTGGGCTTGGCCAATTTGTATTGACGATAGGAATGATGGAAGTCGCTCGTTTTTTCTTCTCTCAACCACGTCTTCCGCCAAACATGAGTAGTAATTATACCGCAATTAGGCAAAAACCAAAAGTGCAACTAGATAGAAATCTTACTGACAGAAATCTTCTATGGGGAAATAATAGTTACTCTGGAAAAAAAATGAAAAGAATTTTTCAACTGTTGAAAATTATATCAAAGTAAGAAAGCGTTTTGATGAACATAGTCTTTTTGTAGTGAGTTTCTATTAGTGTGGAATCTGTGGTAATAACAGTCATTATTCTATACACGTGACTCGAAACCATTCTATACTGTAACTTGAACTTGACCACAAGTATTAATTACGGCGTTATATAATTTGTATATTAAAGGTATTCTACAATCTATCCTATTCATCACATGTATAAATCATGTGGAATTGTTATTCACAATATGTTGTGCGCAAGGTGTTCTAAGACCTAATAATCCACATGGTGCTGTATGTACTTGAGAAAGGAGTTAATATAACCTGGGAGCTTGTTTTCCTATCCCAAAATGCAAAATACGCCTTTTTACTTTCTTGTTGGATTGATTAGATATTGTTAAAACTAAATACATTTCCGGTTTTATGAAATTTTCAGGAGCGATATTTTTGTACACAAAAACAAATATAATGAGGTAGAACAGGAAATGTGATGTTCGTATTTAGTGGAGAAAGCCTAGAAATCGCGATGTTGCTGCAAATCAGCGTGGTACACGTAATCAACTACACTGCTGCTAACACTGCTAATAGTTCTGACACTTTTTCTGAAATGCTTTTCCGGCGTCAATGTACGCTCCGGAAACAGATTAGCCGAAATCGCGTAATGAGCCCAGTTACTTGGTCACAGTGCCCTAAGAAGGGCATAATTTGTCTCATGTATCTAACTTTAGAGGTCGGGTCACGTCAAACAGCTATAGTTGATGCTCGTGTTTCACTCTCACTCTTACATCTATATGTGTCAAGGCAGTCAACCGTGATTGTTAGGTAGGGTCACGTGTCATCTTCACTGGACACATCTGATCTAAGGACGAGTGAACAACATTGTTATTGCTTGAAAGTTTGACTGCTTAATATCATTGTACTTCTGAATACATAATCATGGATAATTTCTACCTCAATTATTTCGAAACACAACGAATACATACGAATACATGTTACAGTTGTATGACATATGGAGACCCCGCCCCCTCTCTCTCAAACTCACTATCGCCCTCACACCTTCATGTTACAGTTGTATGACATATGGAGACCCCGCCCCCTCTCTCTCAAACTCACTATCGCCCTTACACACCTTCATATACACATACCTCACTTAAACAGTCATTGCACTTTGACAAGACCAGGTTCGTGACCGTATGTTGAGGGTTCAACTTTTGTGTAGTATCGTACATAAATGTACATATGTTGTAAGTTTGAAATATTTCTGATATCTGCGTCACCTTCAGTGACACTGACAATACAAGCTGTTTTCATCATATTCACGTTCAGTGTTAATCTACAAAAAGGGTTTAATCTATTTCTTTGAATTTAAAGACTTACATTGTATCATCACCATCTATCATTCTGTATCTGGTTTCCCACATGTCCCGCGGGATTGTATATACTGTGTATCGATCAATAATACCACCATCCAACATCACATTTTTGTTTTCCGCTGGTGTAACTCTTGGCTTTAAATTGCAATTTTGGATAACTGTTCCCAATTTTAGGTCCGTTCAGGCTTCAAGCCATTTCTAAATATTCCTAATTAAACATTCTATACTCGTCATACCTGTATTGTTATAAGCATCATACCTGTATATAACCATCATACCTGTATATAACTATCATACCTGTATTGTTATAGTCATCATACCTTTATTGTTATAACCATCATACCTGTATATAACCATCATACCTGTATATAACCATCATACCTGTATAAAACCATCATACCTGTATTGTTATAGTCATCATACCTGTATTGTTATAGTCATCATAAGTGTATTGTTATAGTCATCATACCTGTATATAACCATCATACCTGTATATAACCATCATACCTGTATATAACCATCATACCTGTATTGTTATAGTCATCATACATGTATTGTTATAGTCATCATACCTGTATATAACCATCATACCTGTATATAACCATCATACCTGTATATAACCATCATACCTGTGTTGTTATAGTCATCATACCTGTATTGTTATAACCATCATACCTGTATATAACCATCATACCTGGATATAACCAGCATACTTGTGTATAACCATCATACCTGTATTGTTATAGTCATCATACCTGTATATAACCATCATACCTGTATTGTTATAGTCATCATACCTGCATTGTTATAGTCATCATACAAGTATATAACCATCATACCTGTATATAACCAGCATACCTGTATATAAACATCATACCTGTATATAACCAGCATACCTGTATATAACTATCATACCTGTATTGTTATAGTCATCATACCTGCATTGTTATAGTCATCATACAAGTATATAACCATCATACCTGTATATAACCAGCATACCTGTATATAACTATCATACCTGTATTGTTATAGTCATCATACCTTTATTGTTATAACCATCATACCTGTATATAACCATCATACCTGTATATAACCATCATACCTGTATAAAACCATCATACCTGTATTGTTATAGTCATCATACCTGTATTGTTATAGTCATCATAAGTGTATTGTTATAGTCATCATACCTGTATATAACCATCATACCTGTATATAACCATCATACCTGTATATAACCATCATACCTGTATTGTTATAGTCATCATACATGTATTGTTATAGTCATCATACC